CCAACCTTGCTCCATATTGCCAGACAAGCCTTTGCAGGCTGCATACAGCTCTGCACACTCTCTAGGGTGGGTGGGAGATAAGACCACGTGGAGAGGGACGTACGCAGAGCACAATGCCTTCGAAAAGTGCAGTCAACTCGAGATCCCAAGGTGGGTCCGTCTTCTCCCAAAGCCATCCGACGGTAAGGAGGAGTGGGCTGACTTCATGAGAAGTTGCGCAGAAACGCACCTTAGGAAAACTTGACGGCCCAGACTTGCGCCCACGTGCAGGTTCTGAGAATGCGACCAACCTGCCAATAAGCCTGCTAATCGGCCTCTGCCAACTGGCTGCCAATACTGAGTAGCTAGACAGTACCCAGGGCTGCCTCCCAAGAGGTGGTCTTGGATGAATACATAGAGTACAGATGTACAGTTCCTAGGACCTTGCATAGCGGCGTTTCACCTTCTCACGTTGTTCATGGGGCACGCATGGCTTCATTGTTTCAAGAGCGCTCGAATCGCAACATGGAGATGCCGAGCATATCGAGACATTTAGCCGACTGAGTGCGGCCTGCAAACTTTGCCTGTGTTCTCGCGCTTTGTCGCACTGCTTCGTCGTTGTCGCTCCCGTTGTTCATATTGGAACCACAGCCATGGAGCGAACACATGACACCCCCTCCCCCACTAGGGGGGGGGTGCTGCCGCTGCTAGACCTCTCGGTCACTTTGTTCGCCACAGTTCCCTTGCAGGTCATGGCCTTCGAAAGCTTGTAGTTCTCGATTGCCTTCACCCTCCTTTTTCCAACTGGCTAATTCTCGTAGGTTGGTTGAATACACACAACCAACTCGTGCTCTCCACGCAAGTTCCTCGGGATTTTGATTACAGTGAGTCGGAGACAAAACTCAATGTCACTTGTCCCAATCTCAATCGTCGCAATCTAAGCACCCAATACTTGTGCATAAACAATGCAAGCGCCACTCGGGACAATGCACGCCAATCCGAAGCTTCTGCCGGCACGGCCGTGCTCTTGGAAATAAGTCACCAAACTGCCGAGTAGCTGCTGCGATTGTTCGAAAACGTTCCCAATTCTCCTGCACATGTTTGGGTACTTTTCGCACACAAGGGCGATGATTCCTCTTGCCACTCAGTCCTCACTGCCCGAAGAAAGGAATACCGTTGTTGCCTGGCCATCACGTACTGAGCGCAAGTAGGAGAACGAATTCAGAGCCCCGTTTCACCGTGTTTCACAAATCTTTTGCTTCGGCTTACACAGCCCATCTGAGATACGAACCTTGCTGCTTTGGCTGTTTTGGTTTTGGGTTTTGTTTTGGTTGTTTGGTTTTGTGGTTTTTGTGCCTTGTTCTGGTGCCAGGCTCGTATCTCCTTAGTATCCCTATTTAATTCAATCAAGGTGACTTGTGCCTCTCGGCACACACAGCGCCTCCACCCGTGCAAAAAAGAAGTGAGGCCTAGCAAAGTTGTCGTTCAGCTGTGTCGGGAGCTAGGTTTTGACGCAACTGAGCTGCCCCTGATGAGGTGTGACCCCTTGCATGTCAAGCGTGATAGCTTACTTGCCCAATGTGCAAGCCCTGTACCCACTGTAGGGCCACTCACAGGTGTTCCCACGGGGCAACCCCTCCCCCCCGGTTGTACGCATTCACAGAAAGCGCGCATTCACGGTAGCGAGTTCGGAACGGCAGAAAGCGCTTGAGCAACGCCTATCCAAGCGAGCGCGCATTAGTGAAGTCAAACGAAAACGACTGTTGTAGCTGTTAGGTCTTTTTTGGTTGGCTGGTCATGCATGAGAGCATAAGCCCTCGCTGCTTACCAGGGAGTGGTAGAACGCCTTCTAAGGGAAAAATGATCTTTTCTTCACAGTGTCTGTGAAACATTTGTTTGTTATTAGCATGGTCCACGGTCATTTATTGGTGATCTATGGTCGGCTACGTTGGTTGGAGTTTTGATGCCGGTTATCTATGCTTATGTTTGATGTATAGACATATTTTCGGTTGTTTTGATTGTTCGCTTCGCGCTGGAAGCCGCCCGCACGGAGAGTGTACGTCTGTCTTTCTTGGTCTCTGTCTTGGTCGGTTTGTTTCAGTTGGGCAGGACACACGGACGAACACACCCACGATGTCAATAATGCAACATTCTTCGGGCTGCATAACGTACATCGCGAACGCTCAGCTCCGAAACCATACGGACAATCAAAAAAATACCAAAAACACAGCATTGTATTTTTTTTGCACCCGATCTTCCAGTCCACGCGAGCGTGCGCAACACCTCAGCATTTTCGGTGAAAACACCTGCGAAGGTTTTTTTCAATAGCTCCTCCTCCTCCTCCTCATCATCATCATCATCATCATCATCATGCTCACTATTGTGGTTGGACTCTGGGTTGTGACCTGGTTTATGGTGTTTTTTCTTCCTCTGTGTCCTCTTCCATGGCAGCTTGAGATGCCATGGTTGGGGTGGCTGTTTTGCTGCTAGTGGTTTTTTGTATCTTCACAAGTTATGGTTCTCTTATGAGGTTGTTTATTGTGGATATGTCTGTGTATCAGCGTTGTTTTGTGATCGTGGTATGCCACGTCAGGGGGTCCATCTTTCCTGAAAACAGTTCACTGCTGTTTTGGACAGTGTTTTCTCACCTGTTGACATTCCAAAGGCTAGAATTGTATGAGCCGAACATTGATGTTGATAAGAGTTCAGAACGGACATCAAGAACACATTGTCAGATATTTTAACCCAAGCACTCAGTGGATGAATGTCAGCACTTGTTCATGGATGTATACGGAACGATGTTTGCCAAGTCCGTGACATCGTGCCTGTAAGTTGCAACACCGGTGGCACAAAAGGATAGGACAAATCAGAAGAAGTAGCCTCAAGCTACCTGAATTCTCCTTGCTTTAGCAAAAACGTGCCAAAAACATCAGAATAAAGCCTGAAACATTTGCAACAAAGGATTTCTCCGATTTGTCCGCGAATCAGCCACTTTACAAGGACCTCTCCAAAGTCATCCGATTCTTTCTCAACCCAAAACCACGCAATTCAACGGCGACCTGCTCAGACCGACGTCGAGACCTCGCGGCGACCTCGACGACCGGGCACGGAACCAGGGCACGGTTGGCAGCGGCCCAGCTTACAACAGATACATGATGATACATGTACTGTGCATGGTCTTCGGATGTCTTCGGTGCAGGCATTTTTTCAAGGACTTGGTGGATTGTTGCAATCCTCTCGAAGCTCAAGCATGAGTAAAGCGCCCGACCTTACGACATTGTGCTGGACCCAGACTGTGTGACGGTGTGTTGGTGAGGCAATATTCATTGATTGGTAGGCCAAGCTGGCCCCCTGGTGAGGCACTGTGTCTCAACGATTCACACAGGTCGTCGATGGTTTTCATCCCAAACAGCCAACTTGCAGTGAACACACAGCGGGATGGTTCCCTCCAAAGTGCTCCAGTCCTGGATCTCATGATGTCAGTGAGGCACTGGTGAGGCTTGCAGTGGTCATTCGGATTCTGAGGCACAGTGCAAACAATGAATCATTTGGCTTGGTGATAATGCCCAGGTTGTGCCTGTCAACATGGCCAAATTCGACGAGCTGTCCCCCGACCGCAGAGTCCGCGCGGCAATCGAGGCTAGCCCAAAGAATGAACCAAGTTTCTCAAGAACGCTCTTGAAGCAAGAATAGGTATCCAACCTGTACAAATCACAACTGTTCTGAATTGGTTCTATATCTTGCATTTTGGTTCCCCCTACCTGTCCTTCAGGCATGTTCTTTTCGCCCTGTTCTTCCCGCCGTCCGCGGAGGTCTTCGTGCCGCAGGCTCGGCTCGGCTCTCGCCCGGTTCGTGCCTCCCGTCCTGGCGGACGCTGCGGAGTGACTCGCAGCGCCAATCCTTCGAGGTTCAAAGCCATCATATTTACCAGGCTACCGCCTGCCGACCCCAAGGCCAAGGCTAAGGCTATCAATCAGTCACGCCTCACCCCACGAGTGGGGTGAGGCGGATATAGATCGTATAGATCAACCCCCCTTGCACACATCTCTTCAATCAGAATTCGAGATGAAGACCGGGTCAAGGAGCAACGGCCGGGTCCAAGTTTTCGGCAAACCAAAGCATCGAAAGCCTCAGGAGAAGAAGAAAAAGCTGATGGATAGGCCAGCGAGAAGACCCAAGAATTGATGGATCCCATCCGGTTCGCAGGATTTGCCAGTTTGTCTCCAAATTTGGGTTCCAGTTCATGACACGTCGTCATCACTCAAGGTAGAATTCAACAGAAAAACCCAGCCTCAATGGGTTTTCACGGTGCTTGGCTTCAAGGATTTCGTCGTTGGGTTTTGGTTCCACCTGACGAACGACCGCCCTTCGGCTGCCGTTCGGCCCCTTGCGACGACGACTCCGATCGCACCTCGACGTCCGGAAGCTCCGCACCTCGAGGTCCGACCGATCGACGCGTGGAGCACGTCGTGACCTGGGTGACCCGAAAGCTGGGCACGTGTCGTTCTAAGAAGGCCAGGTGTTTTTTTTCACCACCATCCCTGGCGTCGTTTCACTCCCAATCCGCGAAGAAGTCACTTTTGCAGCAAACATGGTCGGGGTTGGCATGGAGTTGGCACGGTGTTGACCGATCCACAACATCTATGCTGCTATGCTGAGCATAGCTGGAAACGCAGAACACCTGGAGACAGATGTAGGACGTAGGACATGAGGAGACCAACACTTCATTCAGCTTGTAAGCAGGACTTGTGGAAGTCTTGATAGCAGAGACCAAAGGAAAAAAACAGAGAACGAGCAAGAACAACGAAAGACAGATAGACAGATAGATAGACAGACGGCAGGGCAAAGAAAACCCGCTAGGTAGAGATTGTTCGTCAGGTGGAGGGTACTGGCATGACAGCAAAGACTAAGACCCCCTCATGTGTAGCCGAGTAGACAAGGGTAGACAATGGTAGACTGGTTGATGCTCCAAAGCCTTTGGCTCCTGCCGAGCCCCGACCTCTTTGGGCTTTAACGAGCAGGTGGCGCGACCGGGCCTGGACGAACAGCGCGAAAGCGACGGGCCCTTTGGCCCTCGAGAACAAGGCCCCGGGGGCTCCGTGGCGGTCTGCGACAAGAGCGATGGCCTTCAATCTACTTCGGTTGAATCGAACATGCAATGGACGAATAGACTCTTTTTTTAATCTTTCCCACCGGTGATCCTGTGCAGAGTTTAGAAAGAAAGCACTGACAATTTCTGGGTTCGGATGGACCTGCAGATGCTGGACCTTTTTCTGAGTCCTGACAAGTCTGACGTTCGCCCAATTTGATTGGTTCGTGGGTGTACCCACGCGTGCCCTTCCAACCATGGAGAACCCAATACATGGTAGAGCAAACTAGTGGTTCCACGTTCCACCGCGCCGAGCACCAACATCGATGGACTGCACTAGTTGTTCAATCGATTGACGGCGGATCCTGGGTGGATCCGTTGAGACCTGGAGGTCATCGCCCCGCAAAGTGGATGTGGATTCACCATGATTCACCTACCATCGCCGATGTCATGGTGCTCAGTTCACGCGTAACAAGCCATCCAGCCGTGCAGCGCAGCTCTTGCTCAAAGTCAGCACAGCTTTTTTGTTCGCCGTTGGAGTCTGGCAACGTCGATGAGACCGTGGTTCCTCATGGGTGTGATGTCCACGGTGAGTGCATTGCAGGACAGGTGCCTCTTTGCATCCTTTTTCAACAACACAAGCCCTGACACGCCTCTCTTGGCGTATAGATCTTTCAAAGGATGTTGTCCTTCTTTCTCACCTGTCGTCACGCCACTCGTGTTCGCTCTCGTGTTGACTGTTCAGTTTTAAGCTCGAGGGATCCCCAGAAACGAGAGCTTTTGGCTTTTCAGGATGCTCAGCTACGAGAGATCTTCCACCAGCTTGGAATGGCCTCCAGCACAGCGACGTCCATGGCAGCCAATCCATGTGCAGCACTCAGCATTGGGTGCAATGCCAATGGTCAAATAATAGGGCTGTACCTGTCTGGCATTCAGCTGCCTGGTGAGATTCCTCCCGAACTTGGCCAGCTGAAGTATTTGGAAGGGCTTTACCTTGCCGATAATCAGCTCAGTGGTGAGATTCCACGTGAGATTGGAGAGCTCAAAAAGTTGCAGCTGCTTTACCTTCATGGAAACCGACTGAGTGGTAAGATTCCACGTGAGATTGGAGAACTCAAACAGTTGCAAATGCTTTACCTTCATGGAAACCGACTGAGTGGTAAGATTCCACTTGAGGTTGGACAGCTCAAAATGTTGCAAATGCTTTGCCTTCAACAAAACCAGCTGAGTGGTGAGATTCCACGTGAGATCGGACAGCTCGAAAAGTTGCAAATGGTTTTCCTTCAACAAAACCAGCTGAGTGGTGACATTCCCCGAGAGATTGGACAGCTCAAGAACTTGAATTGGCTTGATTTTAGCCAAAATCAGCTGAGTGGTGAGATTCCGCGCGAGATTGGACAGCTCGAGAAGTTGCAAAAGCTTCACCTTCATTTCAACCAGTTAAGCGGTTCGATTCCTTCAGAGGCCTTAGAGATTGGAAAGGTGAGGGGCTTTGAAGAGATTACTTTGTCTCACAACCAGCTAAGCGGTGACATTCCACGTGAGTTCGGACTGCTTGAGAAGTTGCAAAGGCTTTCCCTTGAAGACAATCAGCTGAGGGGTGAGATTCCAGCTGAACTTGGACGGCTTCAGAATCTGCTGGAGCTTTGCCTCAACGGGAACCAGCTAAGTGGTCAGATTCCCCGTCAAATTGGAGAGCTCGCGAAGTTGCGAAGGCTCTTCCTTCAACAGAACCAGCTGAGCGGCGAGATTCCCCATGAGCTTGGGCAGCTCAAGAACTTGCAATGGCTTTCCCTTTCCGAGAATCAGCTGATGGGCGCCATTCCCGATGAGCTTGGGCAACTCCAATATTTGGAGCAGCTTCTTTTTCATTCCAACCAGCTGACCGCGATGCCATACGTCTTCAACATGTCTTCCCTCAAAGTGCTTGACATCAGTGAAAACCAATTAAGTGGTGAGCTTGGGCGAGAGCTGTTTCCCCAGTTGCTCGAAGTCTTGGACTTGAGCCACAACAAGTTTGCTGGAGACATTTGGAACATCACAGACAATTTTTGTGCATTGATTCCAAAAGGTGGATCCTTGAAGGAACTTCGCTTGAATCACAACAAGTTCACTGGTCAAATACCGCCCTGTCTGATGCAATTTGAACGATTGAATTTTCTGGCTCTAAACGACAATCGTTTCCATGGAGCTTTGCCCGAGATTGAAGCATCGCAGCTTGTCATTCTGACCCTGCACAAGAATGCTTTGACAGGAGTGTTACCCAAAACCTTGTACACCCTTGCATACCTTGGAGTTTTGACGCTCCACGAAAACTCCATTGGAGGTGGCCTCTCACGCCTCAATTTGAGTGTACCGTGCTTGGACAACTCCAAGTTCAGACTATTTGGTATGTTGGACTGCAGAGCCTGCGGAACCAGTGCTTTTCAATTTCCAGGCGACATGCTTCAGCAGATTAAAGTAAACTGCCCACAAACGTTGGATGCCTGCCCGCACAAAGGCATGGTCAACCTCACGTTGCATCACAACCGCTTCTCGTGTGCAGTTCCAGAAAGCCTTGGCAACAACGAAGTTTCGGGCTTGGTGATCATGGGCAACATGCTTGGCAATGGAAGCTTGTTGAATGCGCCTTGGATCTCGCGAGAAGAGCAGCAACTGTTCTTGTACTATTCCCCTCAAGTTTGGAAGTCCACCATTCTGGTCCTGACAGGTTTTCTACTCCTGATGACTTCTGCCGCTTTATGCCGGAGAAAGCTCCAGACAAAACTGGAAGAAACATCTCTGGGCTTGACTAACGACATCGAAGCTCGCGTGGTGGCATCAAACCTTGCACTGTGGCTAGGCTTGTTGTGTGCATGCTTTTTGTGTGAGAGAGAATGGCGCGCACTGTATCCGCACGATCCTCCAAAAAGGACGCACACAGTGTCGTTTTGTTTTTCCTCGGCGATCAACCAAGGATGAAGGCTGCGGTCTCTACCCTTCTACTGGCCAGTCCACTTCTCTTGATCTTTGGTCTTGGTGGCAAATACTATGACTGCAGCCCGCTTTTGTGGCAAACGACAGCTGCAAACTTCAGTGCAGAAGGATGGTGTGCCCAGTTTGGTGTGATTGTCTTGTGGTGTGCAATGCAAGTGCTATTTCGTTGTATTTTGGCAGGGATCATCAAACCAAGGAGAAGCCATCGGAAAGCAGTCCGTGGGTGCAAGAAGAGAATCACCAGAGTTACTGCCTGGGTTATGTGGATTTGCATTGTAACCCTGCTGTCACTGCCTTCCATATTCTTCACCTTTGCCCAGTCGATTCCAGCACAGAATACATGGGACCTTAGTGAGGCTGGGCTTACCTTCTTCCACGCGACTGCCCCAGTGCAAACAGTTCTGATTGACATGGTGCTGGCAGTGCCATTGTCAAGCAAGTTTTCTAAACTGACAGGATTGAAGGCAGACCGATTGCTGATGACCTTTCGGTTGTTCTCTGCATGGCTGTTGGCTGCGCTTACAACAACAGCATTGGATGAGAACTGCTTGAGTGGCTGGAAACTAGCCTGGAAAGTTTGCGAAGAAGGATCCAAAGAAAACAGCAAATTCAACTGGAAGATTTATGATGAAGAACTTCTGAACACCACCCGAGATATTTGTACATTTACTGAAACTTGGTGGTCTGATGGTCGCTGCAGCCGTGCCATCGTGGGAGGTTTGACCCCATTCCTCCTCAAGAAGCTTCTCACACGCAGCATGTTGCAACCTTTGGTTTTATGGACGATGTGGCACTTCTCGCAATTGGAACCTGCAGGTGATCCAAGAGAAGGCCGGCACTGCAGGCTGTTTGGCGTTTGGCCTAAAAGCACCAAATCATTGATACCTTTGCAGCAGATGGCGTTGTTGACTACGCAGATGGAAGCTAGCAAGAGAGATTTAGTTTTGCTTCCACCAGAGAACTCCAGGAATGACCCAGCTGCATGGTAACATGACTTGTATCATTGGCATTTCCAACAGCCAAATCACCCCCCCCCAAATCAACCCCCACCAAATCAACCTACCATCTTCGAAGTGCTCTCCAAATTGCAACAACAGCGTGTGGTCTTAATTGGTTTGTTGGTTTGCTCCGCGCCCATGCCAATGCCAAGGAAGTTTTGCTGTTTTGGTCACCCTACGTGCCTTTGCTGAGCCTGGGCATCCTGGCTGCTGCTGTGACGAACTTCCTGATGTTTGACTTGGGCATTCGTTTTTACAAAGTGGAACTCCCTTTGGATGAGGTCAACAAGGGTGCCGCTTTGTCAGTCTCGTATTTGTACTTTGCGTTGGGAGCAGGATCTCTTTTCCAACTTTGGCATGCATTTAGCACTCAGATGTTCGGGCGATATTTTTTGCTGGCCGTTCACCTTGTGACCATGGGCCCTTGGGCAAACGGCTTTCTGCCCATCGGCTTGGTCCAACGCAGTTTCTGGGCTCCAAATGACCTGCGTGAGACAGGGCTGATCGAACTGACCCGCATAGACAGTGTCTCCCCGTGCGCAAAGATGGGGAACACCACCTGACTGCGCTGCAGGCCAAGCCAAGGCTCCCCAACTGCTCTTCTTTCTTCAGCCGCAGAACCGGCGGTCGTTGCGTGCGACCTGGTCGCACGAGCGCGACGGGCGGCGATCCCGGCCTCGGCCGGGCGGGTGAGAAAAGGGGCGGCGCCGAAGCAGATCATGTCGCGGCCGTGGACGGTCAGGTCCCGAGGAGGTCGATCTTCCGAAGCAGAACGAGGTTCTCCAAGCGGGTCGCCCAACCGCGTAGGCGCCTGAAAGGACACCCTGTGGGGTGCCACCGGGAAGGGTTGCCTTTCTGGCGAGTGGAACGCGATTGACGTTTTCCGAGCCCACTGGGTAAGTCTCGCAACCTCCGGACAGTTCACTGCCTGGAACCCCAAACAACTAGAAACAAATGGTTGTTCCAATATGGCAATTGAAATCCTTTACATATGGTTGTTTGGGGAAACATCCATTTCTTTC